AACATAAACAACAGGTTTTAAGGACAAACTTTTAAATTAAACTGTTTAATCTTGAAAGAAAACTGCCAGAAGTTTAAAAAGTTTTAAAGTAAAAATGAATTGCAGGTGACAGTGTTGTTGGATGCATTCATTTTTAAGTAATTAATAATTATTTTGATAAATAAGAAGTGATGGGCATAAGGTTGCAGGAGAAAAGGTGGGCTAAATATAATAAATATAAATATACTTCTGCCCACTCCTTTTGAGTGTATGAAGAATTGTGAAACTGTAATTTCATAATGCTCTGTACAAAGACAATAAAGGTTTATCTCATTTTATCTTAAAACTGTATATTTGTAATGTTTCTGTTACCTTCTGTTGTTATGTTCAATAAAAATTATTAAAATATAACTTATTAAAACAACTACAAAATTTCATCACTGTGGATTTCATTAAGACGTTTCTTGAAGTTTAAACATAATAATTTGGTAACAAAACTAAACGATTGTTAGAATGTCATCTTTAACACGTTTAAACATGCCGGTGGAGAACAGTTCAGTCAGACATACCATAGTTTGGTTTGAGTGCCTAACGAGCCACTCGTCAGACCACGCTTCGTTTTCGCTACCACGTAGGGGCGCAAATCTTTGCAAACAAAAGTCACATGGTCTCTGTTATCTTTAAGTTCTGTGGAGAGTCGGCTGGTAACGTTAGTGATTCCTCAGTTTATTTTGTTTTGATCCAGACAACTTGTTATCGAAAGCTAATGTTAGCACTGAATGTCTACAGGATGTAAAAGCCAGGAGTGACTAAATATAGAAACACACCTCAGACGCACGCACAAGACGGCATGGGGAAGAATCGATCTCATGTCCTGTGAATCGATTTTCCCAAATTTAAATATTGATCCAAGATCAATTAAATCAATTTTTTTACCCAGCCCTAAATATATCAATTAAATGATCAATGATTCAATTACACTGAGGCAGAATGACAAAAGAACGATCCATATCATTATTTGTCCACCTATTACAATTATTACCTTAGATGGGCATATGATATTGGATCATATTGATCCCAAACTTGTGAATTTAATATAAATCGTATCATGACTAGGGCTGCCACGATTAGTCGATTAATCGACGACTAATCGGTTATTAAAATAATCGATGACTAATTTAATAATCAATTAATCGTTTTTTGGGTTTTCTTTTTGTTCTTTACTTTGTTTTTCTCTCCAAACTGCTTTGACACCTTCCACTGCCACATCTGCCTTTCTGTCCTTGACACACATGC